ACCCTGCCGCCCGCCGAGCGGGGACCCGCCGACCCGTCCATCGCCGGGAAGGGTGAGTGGGAGGCCGGGCCGGGCTCCTGGCACCGGGCTGAGCTGCCGAGCTGCCGCACGGAGCAGTGAGCGCTGGCCCAGGCTCCTCGTGCTGCAGCCCGGACCCTTGGCCCAACCAAGGCAGCAGGTTTAAGGCCATAAATTTTGTCTCTGCATCGGGGACGATCCTGCCAGGACCTGAGTAGTCATCCCTAGAGGTCGAGGTGTCACTATCCCAAGTCCCCTTTCACAGACTGTTCTCCTATTAGGCACCACACTTGACTGATGGCCTGGCACCATTAGGGCATTTTCCAGGTTTTCCAGGCTTCTGTAAGCCCTATTTAGCTCAGCTCCTACCCAGTCCTGCATGGCCTCCAACCAGGGGATGGCACTCAGGACCTAAAAAGGGACAAAGCCAAGGAACAATCTGTCCCGGGAACTGTGCTGCTCTGGAGCCTCTTTATCCTGTCAGGAGTAGAAAGAAGCAGGGATCTCCCTTCTTGCCAGCTGTGACTCATGCTGGCACTAGCATTTGCAGGCCTATTGTAGCACCTGGTCTCATTCTCCTTTCAGGATACTTGACTTTCATATACATCGCAGTTGGAGTGATCTGTACTGTGCTGGCGCTGCTGGTGGTTGCTGTTCTCTACCTCATCCGGGTGAAGCAGAGTAAAGGTAAAGGAGATCACGCATGGTGGGAAAGCAGCTGCTTCCCACCTCTTTCTTCCTCTTGCATGTCTGTACTTTGACACTAAAACTCATGGCAGTCGCGCAGCTCCTGCAGGAAGGGGAGGGCAGAACTGAACAGGTTATTTGCACACTGCTGGGGAAACCTCCCTGGCGCTGCCATGTTGCAGTTTGTACTCTGCAGGGATTTGAGGCCTGAACAACCTGACTAGGGTCACAAATCCAGGATGGCTTCGGCAGAGCGGGGAATCACATTCATGGTCTTGAAGACTGTGACCTTCTCTGCCACCACCTGGCCAGGCCTCGTCTCTTAACTGTGCCCAAAACTGCTGCTCCTGCCAGCACCTAAAACATCTAACACCACCCTAGATGTCCTGCCCTCTGCCAGGAAAAGCTTCTGCAGTAATACGTTGAAATTGCATCAAAATGCTCCTGGAAAAACACCATTTGCTTTTGCACTGGTCCTGCACATGTGCTGGCACCCGTCAGGTTAGCTGGGGTTTGCTTTGTTTCCTAAACTATTTCTCTTTTGGCAGGTAAAAGCTCCCCATCTGTTAGGTAAGTGCTGATTTCTGTATTTGCCAAATCATTGAATTATCTGAGGGCACTATGAGCTGGACATCTTCAGCATGGAAAGAGGGGTACTTAGGAGGTCAGGGCTGAACAAGGAGCCCCACGAATGTCACCGTGTGACAGCATGGCCTGCTTCCCAGGCAGCTCTCCCTGCACTCACTGCTTGGGGTCACTTGTGCTAGGACCAGGTCATGGGTGTGAGGAGAGGGGGTTTCCTCTTGCAGAGCTGGATCCCAAAAGCTGCTGCGATAGAGGTAAGAGCCCAAGGGGGAAGAGCATAGAGGGGACATGTCCCCCCAGGTGACGCGCAGCTCTGGGCCTGGCAGCTGATCTAGCAAGACCAGCAACGGAGCCTCCGTCCTCCCTGCTCCCTACGTGACCTCGCACCCAGCGTTTAGTTTGGGGAGGTTGAACAAAGAGAAGGGAGTTAAGTCCCAGCCTGCAGAAATGTGGCTCTAGGGCAGGAGAGCAGCTGAGCTGCATGAATGCTTTCCAGTGGGAACGCATCCCGCCTGGTTGAGTGGCACCGCTGGAAGGACCTTGTTTCCCAAGTGAACCAGTGCCCCAGCTGCTCTGTCCCTAGTAAAGGGGCACCAGGGCACTTCGGTGACCTGATTGGTTTTGTTTTTCCTCTCCAGGTTGCATGAGCCAGAGAAGAGCAGTGGGACGGCTAACCAGGTGTGTAGCTTAACTCTTGGAACTGGGGAAGGGAGAATAACCAGGAAAATATTCCAGATAGTGGAGCAGACCCTGGCATTACCTGCATGAAACATTTAAATGTTGCTCAGCTGCAGCTGATAAGGAGAAAAACTACCCCTGGAAGTGGGGATAGCTACTTCCCAGCATCTTTTCTGCTTTTGCCCCTTCCCATCTCTCTTCCGGGAAGTCTGGGCTGATTTGTGACCAGAACCAGCTGTGCAATAGCCAAGGAAGCTATTTGTGGAGTTGTTTTGCATGCGGTGACGCAGTTATGAGCCATGTCGTGATCAGCAGCAATCTGTCCATCCCACCCAGCCTCTGCCGGCTCCAATATAAGCAACACGTAGCTGTCCTTGCCAGGCAGGCTCACCCGTTCCTGACTGTGGGGCCTCTGGCATCCCCAAGAGCCCCAAGGGGAATGGTGGTGATTGCAGGGGGGCCCTCCCTGCCAAATCTGGGTGTCTCCTGAGCCTCATCTGCACAGAGGCACCTCTAAAATCCTGCCTAGAGGTTCATGGTAGCCCTCAACTAGCCGCTGCTGTTGGACAGGGCGATTTGCTGAAAACGCAGCATGGGGAAAGGCGCTGCTACCGCAGCATTCCAGTCCACTCCTGGTATCATTCCCAATTTACAAACCAAGTTGTCCCAGGCTGAGTGGAAGTGGAATGGGCTCTTCTGACTGCTGACCTGGGCTGGCGTGTGGGGCAGGGATGAGGAAACTTTCATCACGGTTTCCCTTGCGCTGTCAGAAGTGACTCTCGTTATCTCGCGCAGGAGTCGGATACCAACAACCTGACCTATGCGGACCTGAACTTTGAAAAGGAGAAGAAGAGCATCCGGCGGATCATCGAGATGAGCCAGCAGTCCGAGTACGCCTGCATCCAGACGAGCCAGGCCCCTGCCACCGAGGACAACCTCACCTATGCGGACCTGGACATGGTCCATCTCAGCAAGGCGCCCAAGAGGCCGGCCCCGCGCCCCGAGGAAGCCGGCTCCGAGTACGCCAGTGTCCAGATCCAGAAGAAGTGAGCGGGGCTGGAGCTGGCCAGGGCTCGTGGGGACTGGGGACATGCAGTGGGGGTCCTCTGCCTTGGGGGAGCCTGCCCCTCCATGGGTGGATTTTGACATAGGCACTGAGAGCGCCATGGAGGGTACGTTGAGCTGCGGTACCTGCGTTTTGGGAGGAAAACCTCCCCGTGGAAATGCTGCCTGCGGCACTGGGAGGCTATGGCAGCCCCTGCAGCTGCATCCTCAGCTGGGAGCTCGTGGCCCCTTCCACAGAGCGACTTTGAAGAGCCCCTCAGCGGGCTGCTCCGAGCCCCTGCGCGTGGCACTGGAGGCTGCTCAGGCGCTGGTTTGACCGTGAGCGCGTCCGTCTGGAGCAGCTTCTGCCCTGCCCAAGGGCTGCATCTCCTGCGAGCAGCGGAGCGCTCTGCAGCTCCTGAGGACGCCCGAGCCAGGCTCAGGGGACCCTGGCACCGCTCCAAAGCAGCCCCCGATGGCAAAGGGGACCTGAGCGTGGCAGAGGGCCCTGCCGCTGCTGGAGGCTGCCTGGCCCATGGCCCTCCTTGCAGGTGCTGTCGCTGCTGGGCCAGGCTTGTCATGTCTCTCTCTAGCGACGCTGTCCCCAGCAGAGCCAGCTCCGGGGCTCTCCTGCCGCTCGCTCTGGGAAAGCTCCGTGCGCAGATCACAGCAACGATGGCAAAGGGGACCTGAGCGTGGCAGAGGGCCCTGCCGCTGCTGGAGGCTGCCTGGCCCATGGCCCTCCTTGCAGGTGCTGTCGCTGCTGGGCCAGGCTTGTCATGTCTCTCTCTAGCGACGCTGTCCCCAGCAGAGCCAGCTCCGGGGCTCTCCTGCCGCTCGCTCTGGGAAAGCTCCGTGCGCAGATCACAGCAACGATGGCTTTAAAGGAAGGACCAACGTGTCCACCTCTATATTCCGAAGTGTCTCTTCTGGGGGACCTCAGTCTCACCAGGGCCAATGGGATGGCTGGGAAGGCTTGTGAGAAAGCTGCGCTTCTGGGGGCTCCCCCGTCACCCCATCCCGGGAGAGGCGCCGCGTCCTTCCCGTGCTGCCCGTGCCCGGCTGCCCAGCACCCACACAAGGACTGCAGCTCCCCTGCTCGTCGCTCCGCATGGAGCCTCCTTCCCGGAGGAGCTTTCCCTCAACGCAGCCTTCAGGGCTTGCAGGGAGCCCCCAGCCCACTCGTGTTCCTGAGCACCACCCCAGCGGGTGCCTTCGCCCTCCTTCGAGCCGCTGCCGTGTTCCCTGCCACCCTCTTGGTCCCCAGGAGAGCAGGGGGAATGGCAGGGAGCTCCTGAGAGAAAGCTTTCCCACAAATAACATATAACACATTTTGACTGTTCTACCCGTAACTGTTAATTTTTAGAGCTAAAACTGATGTTTTGTGTTGTATGTGGGTGTACTGCTGTGTACTTAGCACTAGGATAAAATGTGCAACAATAAGACCAAGGCCTCAGTAAAGACCCCCTGAACCCTGTGGAGTTTCGGAGTCTTCCGGAGTCTCCCTGCCCTTGGCCACAGCTTCCTGCAGCGCCGCAGCTCCCGTGTCACCTGCTGAGTGTCCCTGGCCTGCCCTGTCCCTGTGTTGGTGGCAGGATGGTGCCTTGAGGGCTGTGCCAGCTCCCTGTGCTGTCTGTGGACCCCTGTGAGGTAGGATGTCACCCCCAGACACCCTTGTCTGGGGCATGGAGTGAGACGTGGTGACACTTTGAGGGCTGTGTGACTGCTTGTACAGATCCCACTTTTTTTTTTTTCTTTTTTGCTTGCAAGATATTTTTGTAATAAAAGTGGAAAGTCCAATGCTGCTCCTGTGCATAGAGCATCCCCCTCGTGTGCTCAGGGCTGCCGTGTTGTCACCTACGTGTCCTCCCTGTGCACGGTGCAGGCCGGCCTGGCCATGGTGCCTCCTGCAGCGCTGGGGTCGCATCCAGCCCCTGGGCACCGCAGGGAATGACGCTGCAGCAGAAGGAGGTGGCGTGTGGCCTAGCACACCATGCAGGGCTGGTGCTGCCACCGTACCCTCACGGTGGAGCGTGGGGACCCTGCACGCAGCCCCTCTGCTCCGGTGCTGCTCCCTGCCCCCTGGGGACTCAGGAATAAGGAAGATGTCCCTTGCTGTGGGAGCCGAGCGGGTCCACGCTCTGCGGTGACCTCCAGGCCCAGTCAGCACCACCCCCAGGGCCGGGAATGCGGCCGGATCCTTCCCCTGGTCCCCGGACGGGAAGGAGAAGCTCAGAGGGGAACTCGCGCGGTGCCCGGTCAGTGCCCTGTGACCCAGGTCACGCTGTCCTCGGAGCCGCAGGGGGACCGGGCTCTGCCACCAGGGCCGCGTTTCCCGGGACAGAGCCAGCCCCATCCCGGGGCGGCAGCGGGGGGATGCGCGGAGGGCTCCCTGCGCCCGCGGCACCTCCTGCCGCCGTGCACGGAGTGCCACCAAGCGCTGCCCGCAGGCCTTGCAGCCGGGGACAGCGGC